ATATATATATATAATATATATTATTATATAATATTATATATATATATATATATATTATATATATATATATATATATATAATATATATTATATATAATATATATATTATATATATATATATAATATATATATTATCTATGGATATATATTATATATACTATATATATATATTATATGTGTATATATGTAAATTTACATATATATATTAACAATAGCTTAATTATTATAGATCATGGTGTTAATTATAATGATTCTAAGAATATGTAACCAAAATTTTGATATCCAACCAGATGCATAAAATTGATAAGACATTTTCATTCTGATTTCTTAATTAGAGCATTTTTTTATAGTATAGTAATGAAAAGAAGTTCATTAGTTACCAGGAAATGTTTCATGCATCTTGATTCAAAAGAAAACAACCTTGGCCCACAGGAACGAAAGAGAGAAACATGGACTCATCGTCGCCGTGAGAACTTGAAGGACGTGACAACATATTTCAATATCATTAGAACAAACAAGGAATTGGAACATGGAAAGCACTTCTTCTTGCCAACTGGCCTAGCAGCATTTACGCCACTTATTGTCAAGGTATAGTGATGGTGATTATATATTTCGTATTGAGAAAAGCAGTTTACATGTTAAAGTTTTATTGTGTGCAAAGTTACTACATCACCATAAGCATGAAATAAGTTTGGACTACAATTACATATTTTGTCATTGATGTGATAATTTCTATTAAATAAAGTAACTGAATGTTAATGTTTAAGATTTTTATCAATCCATATTTTATTACTAATTTCTATTCCTTGTTAATAATAGCACATTGCTCTTTTGTGTTTCAGGACATACTAGAGTGTGAAGTATACACTTGCATGGAAGAGTGCGACAAAGCAGTTGCTGAGTATGCAAAGAAATACGGTGCAATGGGAATTTTAGGCCAGGACTCTGATTATGTGATTTATAATACAGCTCATTATTATTTCTCAATTAATCATCTTAACCTTGAAACGCTAGACACAATTATGTATGATCGGAATGCACTTTCGAGGCACCTGCATTTATCTGTGGATCAGCTGCCAGTTCTTTCTTGTCTAATAGGTAAGATATTTGGTTTACTTATTAAGGATACCTTATACAAGCCAACAGAAGTATTAATATAATCTATAAAACAATATATTCAGTCATGAAAAGATATATGGTAGAAATATAATCACAAAGTTGAAGATGAAAGATGTTGGAGATACTACCACATAATTTAAACACTTACCAGCAGTACTTATAAAATCTTTGAAAAAGCTGTTTATAAGCATATATGGAAGTGATTATACAAAGTAACCAAGAGTGAAAGAAGCACAAATATGATTGAGACTAAATATACTTACTGCTTTCTTTATAGGTAATGATGTGATTCACCAAGAGCAGTTGATCCTCTTCCACCAGCAGTCCTTGAAGGTCACTGCACCCCACCACCATCGCCATACACAGCGTCCTCCACCAGAAATCCTCATTCCTAAGGTAGCCACATTTATGAACACTCAGCCTCCTATGGAACAGCTGGTGCATCAACTTCCTCTTCTGGCCAGGTACAGACTAGAATTGGATTTAGTACTCTTTCTCTCTTTCTTTGCTTTCCTCTCTTTCTTTCTTCTTTCTTCCTCACCTTCCTTCCTCTTTCTTTCCCTCTCTCCTCTCCTCTTTCTCCTCCTCCTACTCCTCCTCTTTCTCCTCCTCCCTCCTCTCCTTTTCTCTCCTCTCTCCCTTTACTCCTCCCTCTCCTCCTCTTTCTCCTCCTCGCTCCTCCTCTTTACCTCTCCTCCTCCTCCTCTTCTCTCCTCCTCTTTCCTCTTTTTACTCCCTCACTCTTTCTTCCTCCTTCCTCCTCCCTTCTCTTCTCCTCTCTCCCTCTCCTTCTCCCTCATTCTCCTTTCCCTTCTTCTCCCCTCTCTTTCCCTCTCCTTCTCCTCTCCTTCTCCTCTTCCTTCTCCCCTCTCGCCTTCCTCCCTCTCCTCTCTGTCTTCTCTCCTCTCTCTCTCCTCTTTCATCTCTGTTTGTGTCTCTCTCTCTCTTCTCACCCTCTCTCTCTCTCTCTCTCTCTCTCTCTCTCTCTCAAGCCCTTCTCTTCCCTCTCTCCTCTCCCTTCCTCTCCTCTCCTCTCGCCTCTCCCTCTCTCTCTCGCCTCTCTCTCCCTCTCCCTCTTCCT